GAATTTTACTAAATGAGCTTTTCACACAGTATGATGACATGTACATGTAATTGTGTCAATGGTCGTTTTAGTTTTAAGGATTATCATTAATCACCTGTTACTACCGCTTTTACTCCAGACATCACTGGAAATCTGTGTTTTGTATCCTCACATGCCTTACAAATAGCAAATATTGATTTTGTAATTTGCAAGGATACATTTGACAAAAGTCTGAATCGCTGTCGGAAAGATTAAAAATGAAATTTAAGCTGCCACTGAATTTTGCAGTTTTCTTCGCACAGTTTACATTATGTTGTGTGACATTTTGGTTGTTTATCAGATAGAGGTGGAAGTGGGCGCGGAGGCAGTGGAGGCAGAGGACGTGGTAGAGGAAAAGGAAGAGGACGAAATAGAGATGTGGATGATGATGATTATGAGGAAGATGATATGCAAAGTAAACCATCAGGTCGAACGACATTATTTGATTTCTTGGAATCACAACTAGGTCCTGCTAAAACAGCAGGTAAGATGTATTTGAAAACAGGATTTAGAAATAGATGAAGCTTAATTAGAAATGGCTATTTTTATGGCAGTGCAAAACTACATTTAATATGGTGAGGTGCTGTGAATACGTATTCTTATGTCATGCGCGAGTACACTAATAATATGCATGCCATTTTGTTTTTATGGGTACAATCAAATCAAAGATGGTGGTCGTTTGTAATTTGGAGTACATATGTCCTGTGTATTGATTAATTAAGATGTGTTGAATACTGGCAATTTGATTATATGTTGACAAATATTTGCAGTCTCAATAAAGATGGCCGTCCAGCAACCATTAGTTCGGCTGTATCTAATAATCTTTATTTCAACAATGAGATCGAAAGTTCAGTGCAGACCTTGTTTTTTTGAAAATGCAAATGGATGATTTCTACCATATTTATCTGAAACATCAACCACCACAAAAGGTTGCCTATGGTAGGATGTTTTAACACCTAGAGGGAATTTTTGTTGCTGCTAAAACAATTACCATAAGAAATAACGAGGTAGTAAAAATAATCTTTCTCGAATGCAAATTAATAGAATACAAATCTGTGTTTACAAGTTGAGTGAGAATTCATTCACACAATGACATTGTCATTCCGAGCTATGTCAAAAGTACACAAATCTGCCAAACAATAATGCTGTTACATGTACGATCAAGATGAACATTAAAAAATCTAGGTATTCTTGTTTTTTCCAAAAAATATATAGTGTAAGTTTGTTGTTAGATTAATTTAGACGCAATCAGAAATTCCATCTTTCAGGTAAATTCAAAAATCTAGGTATTCTTGTTTTTCCCCAAAAATATATAGTGTAAGTTTGTTGTTAGATTAATTTAGACGCAATCAGAAATTCCATCTTTCAGGTAAATTCAAAAATCTAGGTATTCTTGTTTTTCCCCAAAAATATATGGTGTAAGTTTGTTGTTAGATTAATTTAGACGCAATCAGAAATTCCATCTTTCAGGTAAAAGTGGTACCATTCATCAAGTTAGAAAATTCATACTTACTGCAATCAGGATTAGAAAAACTCAATGACTTGTTCAATTACATCTTACTAACTCCATGTTGGTTTCTCTCCTTAAAAGAAAAAAGTAAGCCTGAGCAAAATATGTCGCAGTTCCGAAATGACACAGGTGGCTACAAACAGCAAGACAGATATGAAAGGGACAATAGAGATTATGATAATAAGGCTCAAAGAGGTAGAAAGCAATATGGACAAAACGATCAACGATCATGTGATAGACAACCACAGTCTGTGAGGGACGCTGGCATTGCATTTGTGCATGGAAAGGGAGAACCTAAACCAAACAGGGAATCTAATGACTATGCAGAAAATAGATCCCGAGGTGGCCGGAGTTCAAACCAGTATCAGCGATACAATGACCAACCTCGAAGGAATAACGATGACTCGCGGCCGCCAAGAGATTATAGTGGTCGGCAGGATAGGTACCACAATGACAGGTATCAACAGAGTAAACAGGAACAGTATTCTGGGAGTACAGACAGCTTTTCTGGAAAACCAAGTAATACGAATCGGCGGCAAAATTCGGCTGAAGGGTATGGGGGTGAGCAGAGGACTAATAACCGACAGGATACACGATATAATAGGTACGATGACAGACACAAATATCAACAACAACAAAATCACTTTAAACAAGATTGGAATCAAGAAAATCGTGAACGAGATAACAGGCGAAGAGACGCGCCAGGAAGTGCCCCCTCTGTGCTCCGCACTCAGCCACCTGTGGTGTCTAACCCTGTTGAGTTGCCTACACAGGTCCCCCTTATGCAACAACCACCTCTTCATCCAACGATGCATTGGAGGAATGGTGATAAGTGCCTTGCAAAGTACTGGGAAGATAAAAAGGTAAGCATGTGTTAATCAGCTGTGTGATTCTGTGTTCTGATAGCAAACTAAAATATCATCAATCAGCTGTGACAGTGCATATTTAGAAAGAAACAAGGAACATTAAAAAAATACCAGGATTCTAATCTGTCGCATTTAATAGTTCATTATATCATGAAAAAGCAATTTAGTGTGCATACACAATTTGACGTGCAAACAGTGCATTTTTACTTTGAATTTCCTACACAGTTATATAAAACACTAAGCAAACAGTGTTACAAAAAATGTATTCTATT